ACAAGTTGGCACCACAGAGGCTCAAGTAGATCCGACTGAAGCTAAAGTGCTTACTTCAGAAGCTCTAGTAGGCACCACAGAGGCTCAAGTAGATACGACTGAAGCTAAAGTGCTTACCACAGTTGCTCAAATAGATACCACAGAGGCTCAAGTAGATCTTACTGACGGTCAGGTAGAGCCAACTGAAGCTAAAATGCTTACTACAGTTGCTCAAGTAGATACCACAGTAGATCTCACCGAAGCCCCTGTGAACCCTACAGAGGCTGGAGAGAAAACGGTAACTGTTTGCTCAACTTGTATGTCAGACGTCGTCATAACCAGTAGATGGAGCGGAAATTTCCAAGCGACTATTACGGTGACACTTACAAATACAGTGACTGCATGGAATATGAATATTTATTTCTCGGAACCAGTGGATAGCATAGACGTAAGTTGTGATAATTTTGTTTTGTTACCGTATTGTTTATAGTATTGTTGAGAAATAAGACAGTTTAAAGACCGCTGAATAACTTACCATATTACGAATAGAAAAAGTTAACATCACAGACAGGCCTATTAATATTAGTAAATAGTTGTGCTCTGGATTCAAATTAACACACTTCTTGCCTCTTATAGGTATACCAAGCAATCGAATTATCGATTTCGAACGACAATATGGTTTACAGCATAAGTAACGAAAATTACAACGGTGATCAATCTGCTGGAGCCATGTTAACATTGGAATTCCAAGCATCATATTCTGGGTCAGAGCCTTCAACAATACGAATCGAAGATATGACGAACCAGCCGGATTGCTGCACAGAGGTCGTAGTGACTCTACCGATTCCAACGGCTGCACCAGGAGAAGGTTGTGCAACTTGTTGTTCAACAACTGCAGTGACGTCAGAATGGCAAGGCAACTTCGTTGGCGAGTTCAGAGTGCCGATAACACGGCGAGTCAGTAATGGATGGACGGCAGAAATTCACTTTTCTTCAGCTGTTAATAGTCTAACGGTAAGTGATAAATAACATCATTTGTTATCCTTCGTAGGCGCTATATGATCTAAGGGTATTCCAAATATACAAACGTAGATGCTACTAAATCTAGTTGCGATTCTTGCAACCCAAGCTCTCTAATACAATGAATCTGTTAATTAATATTTCATAACTTTTTTCTATTTAGATGCACGACGCAGACGTCATTGGACCGTTGAATGGCAATACCGTGTATCAGATTCGTAATAGGCAACATAATGCAGATTATTCTCCTGGAGATGAAAATACCCAAAGCTTTCAAGCAACAATTTCAGGAAATACGCCAACATTTTACGTGTATATGGTTGGACAGCCGCAGTGCTGTGGTGGAGGCTGTGAAACAACCGAAGTAGATCCGACTGATCCACCACAAGTAGATCCCACCGAAGCTCCAGTTGATCCCGCGGAAACGCACGTATATCCCACAGAAACTCCAGAAGATTCTACGAAAGCTAAAGTAGATCCAACAGAGGCTCAAGTAGATCCGACTGAAGCTCAAGTGCTAACCACAGAAGCACAAGTTGGCACCACAGAGGCTGAAGTAGAACCAACTGAAGCTGAAGTG